CCGCTTCCTGCCGCTTCCTGCCGCTTCCTGCCGCTTCCTGCCGCTTCCTGCCGCTTCCTGCCGCTTCCTGCCGCTTCCTGCCGCTTCCTGCCGCTTCCTGCCGCTTCCTGCCGCTTCCTGCCGCTTCCTGCCGCCTGGGATCGCCTCGCGACGGGGCCAGGCTTATAGACCGCACTGCTTTGAATTCTTCTTGTGGGGATGTTTGGGAGCTTTGGAGTTTTTTAGAGCTCACACAGTATTAGGAGTTTAACAGAATCACAGAAGAACAAAATATCCTGATTTGGAAGGAACCCACAAGGACCATCAAGTCCAACTCTTAGCCCTGCATGGGATCATTCCCAAGAGTCACATCATGTTCCCGAGAGTATTGTCGAAATGCTTCTTGAACTCAGGCAGGCTTGGTGCTGTGACCACTTTGCTGCAGAGCCTGTTCCAGTACCCAGCCACCTTCTGGGTGAAAAACCTTTTCCTGATATCCATCCTAAACAGCTGACACAGCTTCATGCTATTCCATTGGGTCCTCTTACTGGTTATCAGAGAGAAGGGATCAGTGCCTTCCTCTCTGCTTCCCCTCACAAGGAAGTTGCAGTGAGATGAATGAGTTGCAATGAAGTTTCCCCTCCATCTCCTCCAGGCTGAACAGACCAAGTGACTTCAGCTGGTCCTAATACGACTTCCCCTCAAGGCCCTTCACCATCTTCCTTGCCTTCCTTTGCACAGTCTCTAACAACTTAATATCTTATACTGCAGTTACAAAGACTGCACACAATATTCGAGGTGAAGCCACACCAGTGCAGAGCAGAGCGGGACAATCACCTCTCTCAGCTGGCTGGCGATGCTTTGCCTGATGCCCCTCTGGATGCTGGTTTACTCCACTCAAACCTCAAAGCTTGCCCCTGTCTGAGGCAGACCAGGCCTAGCCTGGCCTCAGCTGGAGCCACAGATTTCACTCTGTAAAAGAGGCATTTCCTAATGCACTGAAGCCATGGCAGCTCTTGGAGCTTTGGTTCAGTACTTACAGGCCCACCTGCGCAGGGTGCTGAAATCTGTTGCTCCCACCCCAGTATTCGTGCATGGTATTGACCCTCGCTGGATCCTGAAGAGCAGGAAAAGCCCAGCACTGTTTTGCTGCTGGGATGCTCTGTTGGCCACAGCTGAGGAATCTTGCTCACCTCCTTTTACCAGCTGGTGATGGGCCTGATGCACCCCAAGACACAGCTGGCCCTCCTGGCTGCCAGGGCACTGATGACTCATATTCAACTTGCCATCAGTGAGGACCCCCAGGCCCCTTTCCACAGTTCTATTCTCCAGCCTCTCACTCCCCAGGCTATACACACAACCAGGGTTGCCCTATCCCAGGTGCAGAATCCAGCACTTGTCCTTGTTAAACTTCATATGGTTGGTGATTGCCCAGTCATTTCATTTGTCAAGGTCTCTCTGCAGGGCCTCCCTGCCTTTGAGGGAGTCAACAGCTTCTCCCAAATTAGTATCATCAGCAAACTTGCTCAGTATCCCTTTGATTTCTGCATCCAAGTAATTTATAAAGATGTTGAAGAGCACAGGGCCTCAGATGGAGCCCTGCAGAACCCCACTGGTGACTGGTGTCAGCCTGATGTCCCAGTTCCCTATTACTGTTTGTGCCCTACCCACAAGCCAGTTGCTTATCCATCACATGATGTGTTTATCCATCTGTGTGCTGGACATTTTGTCCAGAAGGATCCTGTGAGAGAAAGTATTGAAAGCTTTACTGAAATCCAAAAACATTACATTAGCTGGCTTCCCTTGATCTATTAGGTGGGTTACCTTGTCGTAAAAGGGAATCAGGTTTGACAAGCAGGACTTTCCCTTCATGAACCTGTGCTATCTGTTACCAGTGACTGCACTGTCCTTCATGTGTTTTTCAATACCTCGTAGAATAATCATCCCCAGTCACTGAAATAAGACTAACAGGCCTGTAGTTTTCCAGGTCATCCTTCTCGCCCATTTTGAAAAATGGGACAATGGCTGAGAACTTCCAGTCAACTGGGACCTCTCCAGGTTCCCAAGACTGTTCAAAAATCATTGAGAGAGGCCTTAAGGATGACTTCAGCCAGCTCTTGGAGTATTCTCTTATGAATCCTGTGAGGCCCTATAGACTTACAGAGATCCACCTGGAGCAGCAGATTCCACACAAGTTTAGGGTCAACTGGGAGTTTATAATTCTCACAGCATGGTCCTGCAGCTCAGGCCACTTTAACCTCTCATCTGTGTTGAAGACAGAGGCAAAGAAAGCATTAAACATCTCTGCCTTGTCTATGTCCCTGTTTGTGAGGTGACCATCCTCATCCTGTAATGGCCTAATGTCATTTCTGCACCTTTTTTTGCCATTAATGTATTTAAAAGAACTCTTTTTATCATCTCCCACAGTACTGTTCAGCTTTAAATCCAGTTGAGCTTTGGCTACATGAATTTTCTGCCTACAGCAATAAGTAGCATCTCTCTATTCCTCCCATCTCTCCTACACTTGCTACCATTGGGCATACACCTTCCTTTTTGCTTTACCTCCAAAAGAATATCCCTGCTCAGCCAAACCAGCCTTCTGCCTTGTCTGCTTAATTTCTGACATTTTGGAATTGCCTGCTCCTGTGCCCTTAGGAGGTAATGTTTGAAAGGTGACTAGCACTGATGGACCCCAGAATCTGCAAAAGCATTTTCACAGAAGTCTGTAGGACTTGTTTTTTGAAGATGAAAGTATATCATGAGTTCCACAGTGATTTGAAGAAGATGGAAGAATTGTCTTATGGTTAAAAGCTGCTCTGGAGGTGTGGATTTTTTCACTGACCTTGCTGCATAGCTTTTGTGTGGTGAAGGAAATCCACTTTAGCTAAGTCACTGAAAAAATTAAAAGATAACAGTCTCTGCACATGCCTATTTTAGCTAAACGTCTTTTGCATGATGGCATATTACATAAACATAACTTTTCAGATGAATTTATTTTGTACTTGGGTGAAAATCCATTATTTCAGGACTGATCTGAACCACCGTGTCTTTCACAGTTGGGCCCTGTAAAAGCATGAGTTCAGTTCATTGCATTACTGAGCTTTTACCTTCGGGACAAAACCCATTCTGCAAGTTGACTGACAAAAGGTAAGAACTTTTCAGCTACTAGTTTGGAAACTTAGACAATCCTTAAGGTCCATGCTGAACTACTATCAATTAGTCCCTTCTTCCTATTTTACTCTAAATATTTTAAAAAGAGTAAATATTTTTTTTCTTGTACAAAAGTCAGGGTTTTATGGCATATCCACATCTGATTAAAGAGGAGCTCCTTTTCTGTGTTTTGAACAGAAAATACACAGATTGTTAAATATTAAAAAAATGAATGGCTGCACCTTAAAAGACATACAATAAACTGGCGGGAATGATGACTCCTTCATCTTTCTTTGCAGACAATGAAAATGATGACATTGCCTCTTCCTCTCACAGTTGTGTCTGAAGATTAATACCCTCTTAGGACATATTTGAGTGCTATATTATTGGTGAGCGCTCAAGAAAAAACTAGGAATAAGCTGGTAAATTTTGTTCTAGTGCAGTATTTAATGAGTGAAGTATAAACAAACTCCTGTATACTCAGTGACTGATGAGGTTTTGGCAAAACATACTGATGATCACTGGTTATCACTGTCCATTTTATGTATGGACAGTGGAAAAATAGTGCCAGACAGTTCAACTAATGTCCATATCACTGTCAATAACAAAAGTAGGGCTGACTTCTTTCTTCATGCTGCCATATCCTACCTCTTTCCCTAGGTCTGATGTAGAGTCACATTTACCCACCTCTCACAGTTGTCTCTAAAGACATACATAAAAGAAATGGAACTCTGTTGATGAAAACCAGCTGAGAAATGAGCATTTGCTGTGCATTATTTGTTATGCTGTGTTCTTTAAAAATACCTGCAGACTTCAATAATGTGTTCTGAAGTACACATTAAACTAACACGTACGTGATTTGCCAGTGATTCTTGAAGTATTTGGTTAATCATCTTCACACAGAAGACATCAAAACCCAAAGTATGCTCTCTTTTCTGAATGATTAAGCCGAGCTTCCCATAACATTTCCCTAGCAGGTCATGACAGACTGCTAACAAGAAAGTGGATTCTGCTGTGAAAAAAAAAGAAAAAAAATGGGAAAAGGAGGAAGCAATGATCCCAAAGATGTGCAAAGAAAAGAAAAAGCCAAGATGCAACTCAAAAGAAATATAGGTTATTTTGATGGGGTAAGTTTTATTATAGGATCAATTGTTGGGGCAGGTATCTTTGTGTCTCCTACAGGGGTGTTAAAGCATTCCTTACTCAACGTTGGCATCGCACTAATAATCTGGACTGCATCTGGGCTGGTTTCTCTGATGGGTTCCCTCTGCTATGCAGAACTGGGAACCTCTCTGCCCTTCTCTGGAGGAGAATATAGCCATATTAAAAGAGGCCTTGGATCCCTCCCCGCCTTTGTGTTTATCTGGACGTCAACATTTACCAAGCCAGCATCAAATGCTGCTCGAGCCTTGCTGTTTGCTGAATATGCCACCCAGCCCTTCTATGGCATTTGCCCTCCACCAGAAGTGCTGAAAAAATGCTTGGCCTTGGCCGTTCTCTGGTCCCTGGGGATTTTGAATGGCTGCAGTGTCAAAATGGCTGCATGGGTGCAGACAGTTTTCACTCTGCTGAAGATGATGGCCTTGTCTGTAATTGCTGTCGGCGGCATCGTTCTCCTCGTTGCGAGGCAAAAGGAGAGTCTGGCCAGATTTGAGGACTTGTTCAGCTCAGAGATTCCCAATGCTTCGCAGGTTGCTGAAGCCTTCTTCCAAGGACTGTACGCGTATGGAGGCTGGTGGTCCCTCAATTATATGGCAGGTATCTCACTCCTCTTCTTTAGATTTTGTTCTGCAGTTGTCATTCTTGTGTTCCTCAGCTTGTCTTGGTAGAACTTGTCTCTCCTTCAGGACCATAGGGTCTCATGTTTTATGTGACTCCTATGTTTGTTGGGACTGGTAGAAGAGGCATTGTTCCTCTCTAGGGAAGTTTTCTGCTTTTTGTCCAGTCTCCAAAATCAAACTGACATTTCCAGTGGGATACAGGAGAAATCAAAATAGTTGATTTAAAATCTCACACATAAACAGAATTTTTCATACCTGAAAAATTTGCATTTTGTCTTTCTCAGTGTCCATGACAGTGTATTTTTAGGAAAGGATCAGGTTATCCATGCCAAACTATGTGCACATAGATAATTTTTATTCCAATATCTGTACCTTCTTTGAGGTTATGCAGTTGTTGTGTACATTGACAAATTGATTTTGAATTTTGCAAAATACAGCAATTCCATGGGGTATATTTTCTTGGGAAAATAGAGTTTTGCACAGAAGGTGAAGAGAGATCTAAGGAAAGTGTTATAAATACTTTCATAGAATTTGTACTCAATTTTAAACACTCAAAACATTTTTGAATATCTATTTACTCACCCTATTCTATATCTGATGATGTGGCAGTAAGAAATGGAGCAGTTTTTCATGAAACCTACAGAGATGATGTTTTTAATATTAGTTATTCATGTCACAAGTTAAATTAATAGTTTTATGATATGATCAGATTTATGGAATTATGTTGGAAACAAGTTGATATTGCTCTTATATCTTTAACCATTTGTACACATTAACCTCTATCATGTAAAATATTAAATAAGCTGCATGTGTTAAATGCATAATGCAAAGTTCAATGGTGAGAACAATGTGAAATTTGGTTAATGTTTAAAAAACTGACTGTTATAATTGCAATCCAGTTATTCCAGCATTAAAAATGTGTTGCAATTAAAAAAAAAAAAAGGTGATATAAGTCAGGAAAGTTTAGTTTTGAAATCTTAAAAATTCCTTAAATGCAAGCACTTAGCTTTGTAACCCTGAGAAAATACAAGAGTACTGGTAAAATATTAATTTATTTTTTTGATCAGTTAGCACTACTAATAAATACCATAGACTGGGGAGCACAGCTGTTTGGACAGATGTAACCTATGCAGTAGTTCTAAATTGAACTGCGTTTCCTATTCTTTAACAATAACTTTATTTATGTGAGCTTCAGCTAAAGCATCAGGTGCCAGCTGGATGGCAGGACTGTAATGAGTGAAGAAACAAATGAAAAGATAAATTTAAATTGACAATTTTAGTGATTGTCCTCTTCTGGGCTCAAAATTACCAAGTGTATTTCTTACATCTGAAATAAATCCAAAATTGTCTGATAGTATTTGAATTCTGCTGTTGTGCTCCTTCAGTCCTGGCTCTGTGCACTACAGGCAGTGCTGGGACAGGCTCAAGGCTGATGTTCTGGGCAGAAGATAGAAATCGTATTTGAAAGAGGAAAGAGATTTCAACCTCCTAAAAAGAACTTAAGTGAGCTGCATATTTAGCTTTTCACTTCTTCCCTCTTGTGAGTTATTGGCTGGTAATACTCAGGAGATCTTCTGTAAGTGCTGAGGGAAGTGGGAAGAGGAGAGGGAGTGAGGGGTGGAGTGAAAGAGGTGAAAAAGACCCTTTTTGATTGAGATAAGGATGAATTATTAGGCTTCTGGAAACCAGCTTCATCTTTTGTTTGGACTATCAGATGTTCAGGAATGTGTGCCAGTGCCTGAATTATTCACTGGCAAAATCTGCAGTTTTTTCTTATTTGATAAGTGTAGTTCTAAGCTATCAGGCTTAGCACTAAACAGTTTTCCTCCACCAACTTTGCCCTGAAAAGGGTAATAGCCACTGATATCCAGATGGGAATAGCCCCCTTTTAAAGCTGCTGCGTTATTGCTTTTCTCTCTGTACTGTCAATCTTTTCTTTTACTTTTTCTATATTTCCTGATATAAGGGCAAAGAAAAAGGTTTTGAGTAGGAATAGGCAAATACTAAGTTTCAGATCAGGACTCAGGAGGTGATGTCAGAATAAATAATCTGACTTTAGAGTCTCATGTTTAAGGTAGTGATTTACAAGTAAGGCTACTTGAAAATTTCTACCAAATCAATTTTCTAATGTAAGTCAAATATGTGATTAATTAAATCAAGGAGAAATTATTAGTCCTTCTGTAATTTTTTTATCAGCTGTCCAAAATAGTTAATAAATGGGTAAATAAAAATAAGTTGTTTAGGAATCTTTGATAGTAACCTATTTGAGAACAACTATAGGACTTCACAAGCAGCATAATTTAGCAGCCATGATCAGGGATTAGGGCAGGACTTTGGTATCAGTCTTGTCAAGCTCTGCACAGGTGGACCACTGAAATACACTTGCTGAAGCTACACTGCTTGATTTATTTGTCTTTTTAAATTGTATTTTTCAGAAGAGATGAAAAACCCCAGCAGAAATATCCCCTTAACTGTGATGACTGCTGTCCCTGCAGTAATTGTTTTTTATTTACTGGTGAACATCTCATATCTGACTGTCCTCACACCTAAGGAAATTGTCTCCTCAGGTATGGATTTAATATTTTTTTTAATTAAAAAGGCATGGTTCATTATCATACCAATCTGAAGTCAATGTATTGGGTTACTTCTGCTCTCCTAACTTCACAGTCCAGAAGTTTGGGTTCATTCTCTTTTAACAGAGAATTCTTTAATTTTACTATGTGACACAAGTTCGACTGAAAGCAGACAGATGTTATTAAATGTTGAAAATGTTGGTTTATATCTGCACTGGCCAGAAATGAAATCAGAAGTGTATTAAAACCTGGAAAATCGGCTGAAAGTTAGGTCTTGAGTATAGCGATGACCTTTGTTCTTCCTGTAGTTTTAATCCTCTCTCCTCCTTCTTTCCCTCTCTCACGGTGTCTCAGGTTAGAGCCATTACTGTTTAGGAGGTGGACAAGTCTAACATGTTCAGTACTATAGAAAGGGCTGTGGACACAAAAATGTAGCCATTTTGGGTGCGTGTTTGTGTGTTATTCTTGATAAATTTTGTGATTCCTCAGAAGAGCCTATACAAAAGCCCAGTGTATGTAAAGCGTTTCTCAGATCCTGTACCAAGAAACTGTCCATGAAAAGGTGCAAGGGGAGCTGTATTTCTCCTTGATTGTCCAAACAGCACCTTTTAAATCCCTCCATAATGAGATTAGGCTGTCAGACCTTGCCTACAGGTGTGACAAAAACCATACCTCATTTGGATGGATCAATTATTTTTTTCTTGTGAAAACAGCTCACTAACATAAATGGAACCAGTGTAGCTGTCACTCAGCAACCTTGTATTATCGTTCAGCCATTGTCAGGTTATCTGCTGGAAAAGATGGGCACGTTTGCAGATCCATCCTACAATGAAAGAAGCAGCAAATATCAGACCATCTGTGAACAGCAGCTGCCCAGCTGGCATAACCAGCTCCATACATACCAGGGGAGTTGTGTCTATCTATGCCAGCTGAGGAGACAGCCTTAAAATTATAGCTCTTATTCAAACATTGCTATGTGTTGCTGTGGCTCTTGTTCTTTCATTACATTTTTTTGGGGGGGAGGCAGGGTGTGGAGGGGGTTTCCCCCATGTCTAATAATTTCCTATGCTGCGCAGGTCACTGCAAGATCTATGTTCCTCATGGCATTTGGTTATAGACACACTACATATTATTCCTTGCTACTATATGGGCTGTAGTTAATTTCCAAGCAATATTAAATATCTCTTGTTCAGAAATAATCTTTCACACTTCCTCAGTTCTGCCCAAAGCAAAATCTCATTAACAACCCATTTGCTGACTCTTCTCTGAAGGTGCCTGTGCTGCTGTTGGCAGTTTTGCTGTAACAGCAGTCTGTGTCACCACCATGGGCATGCTGGGGCCTAAGGTGTTCATTTTCTTTCCGTGACTATGTGTGTGTGTTAGTGATGCATGGCTGTGAGATGCAGCTCTCTCCTACTGCGCAGTCCATTACTGTGGTATTTGCCCCAGCAGGTTTGCCTGGCTTGCTCTGGTAGGCAGCGCTCCTTGCTGTCATTCTCCTAGGAAATCTTTAGCTCATGAATGAAATACCCTTAGGTGTAGATTACTGTTTGACTACTGTAGCAAAAAAATGCATGCATTGCTGGTAAATACAGATGTTTCTTGCATTTTAAGTTGTATTTCTGTTGAGCCTGTCAGTGATTCAGAACATGGTACCTGTACTACACTAATGCTTTGCTTTCTTGCAGTTGCTGTGGCAGTCACTTGGGCTGATCGAGTTATCCCCTCTGTTGCCTGGATCATTCCTCTCTCTGTTGCTGTCTCAATATTTGGTGCCCTCAACAGCAGCATGTTCACACTAGGTCGATTAAGCTATGCTGGAAGTCAGTCAGGACATTTACCTGTTTTAATATCCATGCTTAATGTCCACTCCTGTACTCCAGCACCAGCCATGATTTTTTCAACCACAATTGCATCCATTTTTATCATCCCCTCTGACCTTATTACGTTAACAAATTACTTTGGATTTTCTGCCTGGCTTATGATTGGACTGACTTGTGCAAGCCTGATTGTACTTCGATACCGGGAACCTCAACTACATCGACCATACAAAGTAAATGGACCTAAATTGCAAAATATTTTTTACAGATTTTTTTTGAGTAGCATGTAAAAGTTTCAGAACAAGGGCAAGTCAAATGTGGATAGTTACAAAAATACAAATAATAATCTCAGTGCTTAGAGCCTTATTCAAAAACCTTGCTTCAGGATAGAAGAAGTGGGTCTGTGCCCCAGAAAACTTGCACTTGAAAAAAGGAGATGGTTATATGCAGAATGGGGGAGATGTGCATCAGATGTGTACCAGTGTGGAGCAGCAATAAGAACAGTGTAGGACCCAGGCTGACCATTCACAGTTAATTAAACCTTGACCTACTCTCATCTTCCCTGACACCATCACACACATTATGAATAGGCTGAATTTCCTCTTAATCTAGAAATTGGAAAGCTGGGTTAGAAAGGTATACTCATTGTGAAGGCTTCTTCTAGGCACCCAGCCCTGAGTGTCTTTTAGGAACCTGTAATATTTGTCAACAAATGAATTTCAGGTACTGCCTATCTCTACCACTTGATGACAGAAGGAGCTTAAACAAATATTTTAGAAAGGATGCCTATCTTGTAGGCAATTTGAGGTCAGATGACTCTTGTCCTGGGAGAGTTTATAGCAGTGTGAGAAATGGTATTCTACTGTGGCAAAGAATGGGTTGTTACTCTTATGAATGAGATGTAAAATCGCAGTTGGTCTGTTTATTTCCTAAACCATTCTTTTTCTTTTCTTGCAGGTGTTTCTGCCAGTTCCATTTGTGATGGTGGCAATGTCTTTCTTCCTAGTTTTAGCTCCCATAGTCTGGTCTCCCAACATGCAATATGTTTATGCTTTCCTGTTTATGCTGGGAAGTCTTGTTGTTTATCTACCTTTTATACATTTTAAATTGCATTTTGCATTTCTTGACAAAATTACTTGCCACTTGCAGCTCCTGTTAGAAGTCTCTCCTGCTGATGGATCTGCTGAGGGCAAATGTGAATAACAGGCAAATGGTTAATCCCGGCACAATTAAGAGCCAACACAGGATTTTGTTTAACTGAGAGTGTAAACAGTACTAGTTAGATGTTAGGTGTGATATACAGGTGCTCATGCAGGTATAGATATATACATACATAGATGAATATGCATACATTGCATTCATATATGCAAACATGCATGTATAGGTATATATACATGCACATATATATGTATGGGCATTAGCATAGTGAGTTAATATGTATATATCTGTGTATGTCTGGTTATATACATAATAGGTGCAAAGGATCTCTCTTAAACTTGTAAAATCTGTAAAATGCTCTCTCTTGCTCCTTGAAAACACAGTTAAAAGTTGCATGTAGTCTTGCAGTAATAGAAATAAGACTCAGTTGCAGCATATGTAATTATCAATATTATAATACAATAAATGAGTAAATACATTCTTAACAGCATCGTATAAATATACTTTTGGACTCTGAACTGAATTGTCTGGATTATTCTTAGTTTGAAATAGCTTGTTTATTAGAACTTCTGTTTTTAAAGCCTTTATACTTCTATTCATCTGCCTTTTTTTTAAATTTATTTTTAATAAAAACCTTTGAAGAACATCATAAAATTGACTGAGACCTTTTTTATCCCAAGAAAACAGCACATGGTGCATCTTAGCTATTTTAGAACAACACATAAAAATTCAAGGTGAAATCTTGCAAAGCATCAAGTAAGGCAGTAAGAATTGTTTATCCTCCCCATCACAGCAATAAAACTAAAGATATGTGAATTACTTTACTAAATTGTTTACATCTTAGCATTAACATTACTTTATTCCTTGCTTTCTTTTTGGTGTGATTGAGAAGAGCTTTTTTAGGCTTCCTCTCCTCCATTTTTATTATGTTTATGAAAGCAAGATAAATTAAATATTTTTTCATTTTATAATTGGGCCATATTAAGTTCACTGAACATTTAAAATTAAAAGTAAGTAAAATTACAGAGGAAACAACATGTACTTAGGTGATTAATCTATTAATATATGTTGCTATTTTATAATTACAATAGAATTACATATGTAGTGTGTTTTTCAAATCTGTCAATGAAAGCTCAGCGACACAACCAGTAGATGGCCCCAGACTGACATCTGTCTAACACCGTGGTACTCTGGTCTGCTGGATGATGTATTGGTGAAACAGTTTTATAGCACAGTAGAATGAAAAAAATTCTTGCTAGAATATTCGATTCACTGATATATCAAAATTTTAGAGGTCAGAATGATTGATAAAGCCTTTATTCATAGCTGCCCAGAGTACAGGGTACCCATCAGTAAAGCTGGGAACCAACCAAAGGTTTAAGAGGATTGACTTTGCACTGGAATGAGCCCCCAGAGGAAAAAAAGTACGTGAAGAAAGTGGCTTTTCTTACAGGTGATGATGTACACAGAATGAAATTTAAAACTTTTAAAATGCTGTAGGAAGAAAAGCCCATGCAAGTGAGAGAGTAGTGAATACAGCTGAGCCGGAGACTGGATCCTGCTGCTGAAAGCAAGGCAGGAACCAATGTTTAATTTCAGTCAATAGTGCTATTGGAAAAACATTTTTCTTGCTATTTAAATTTAAAAAATCATGAGACTCATTGAAATTTTATAGGAGCATTATTTTAAGAATTGAACTATAAAAGGAAAGAAGGATTTTACTGTGACCAAAGCACCCATCAGTAATTTGTAAATGCAGGCATGGCAGTGCCACAGATTGTCGACTGAGCTTGATCATGGAATTTATTTAAACCCATATTTTAATATGTAAATAAAAACTGGAAGTCTTAAGGGGGAAAAAAGTGTATGTAACAATAATATTGTGTTGTAGACCAGATGGTTAGGAAAAGCAAGCATGAGGAGGAAGTTGCTCAATTGGATATGTTATTTCTATGTAATTCTTGTCAGTATATCTACACTTTAATTCCATAAGGAGCTGGGTACCTACTGATCATCTATGTCAGGGTATGTTTGGGTAATTGGAGCATGTATCTGTTAATGATACAAACTTTGAATGTAGACATTTAGCAGTTTCAAGAAATTAGGGAACTCAGAAGTGCCATTGAAATGTAATATGAAATAAATTGCATCTATATATCTTTCTGTAATGTGAACTAGATAGTTTTTCTTTTAACAACAATCTAGGAAATGGCACATAAACAGGCATGTACATGGTTATTGCCAAAGGATCAGTGAAAATGAGAAAATTTAGAACAAGCCAGAATTAAAAATGTCCATGAAAGCTTAAGCCCCTCTCTGAAGGCACCTTTTGATGGCCCTGCATTATCAGATCATAAACTATTCTTTTATATAACCTTACATCATTTATTGGATAGAATGGATGGTAACCAGATAATTCACTATTAGTTTCCTCCCATTTAAATATGTGACCTTGCACCTTGTTTAGGACCTTGTTTATCACTCCCTGCTCATATACTGCTCTTGACAAACATTGTTAACTTCTTACAGACTTTTCTATGGTGTTCTTCATGGCAGCACCTGAGCACCTCACAAAAATACTAATTTGTCTTTTCCCTCATGAGCTGAGACAGTAGTATCATCTTTGCTTGCCAAAAGTGAGTTAAGCTAATGTGTAGGTTGCACAACAAGTGCATTTTATGATGTTCCCTGAAATCCTTCAATTCATGTCTGTCAGGGGTTCTCCAGCAAGACTCTGTTTCATCCTAAACCTTCCTCTTCTACAGCAAATGAGGGATTGGCTAGCTGAGATTTAACATCTTCAACACAAACTGTTGCCTTATTCCCAGATCGGAATGCTCTTATTAAATGACCCAGTGTTAGGAAAGGGACTTACACAGCTGAGCTGAATTAGCATTATAAAAACAATCTCAGATATGGTATTGCTGATCTACTGAATATGAGTCACTGATGTTCTCTTAATGCAGCCTTTCTTTTGCCTGCGTGTTTTAGAATGCTAAATCACAAAGAAGAAAATACAGTATTAAATCTATAAAGATTTCTTATTGTTGCTGGATCATTACATATTTCCAAGCAGTAAGCATAAAGGAACAGAATCCAAATTTATAACTTGTATTAGCTACTCTGGCCAAGAGCAATTCAATATTTCAGCATTATAGCTTCTTTCAGTGACACTAGTTGGTCTCCCTTGCTTTCCTACTTGAATATGTCTCAGAAAATGCTACTGTTTTATTATTAGACTATTGCATCATCAGAAGTTCAACCTTACAACAAATAAAGATAGAATATGCGTATATTTGATAAATAGAAATAGAGTGTGGATAAATTTTTTCAATACTGTACTGGCCCATTTCAACATGCAACCTCCCTATCTGTTTTTATAGGTTTCTAACAAAATATTTGTATCTATTTCTGCATCACCTGGGTTTTTTTTTGTTCTTTATCTACTTAAAAAGACAATATAAAATACCAAATGATAATCAGTCTTATTTTAAAAATTACTTGTAGTTATACATCATGCTAAGTCCATGTGTGCTGAACTGCTTTACCAAAAAAAAAAAATCATGCTGAGGCAAAACCCAGCTATTGTACAGAAGAAATAAAAAAAACCCCAGCAATGAATTAATTTACTTCCCTTCTCACAGTTCGTGTTAACTGTGATTTCAATAAAAATATAATCAACTAATAATGAACAATTGTACATATTGTTTGTGCTTTGATGTGGTGATTTTTGGTTGGAACCTCTGTGTTACAGAGGGGAGGGTATATGAGAAGGTACCTATAGCTGCTAGGCCTGGAGGAGCTCAGGCATTCTAACTTCTATTCTCACATTTGATATATGCACTGTGGGTGTTGCTAAGGTTCTCCACATCTTAGTTTCCACAGCTAAAACAGAAACAATTGTGTTTTAACAACTTACAGGTCAAAGAGTATTTGCTTGTGACCTCTTCTGGATCACAGTTAGTAATTATTCTTGTCATTGCCCTGTATGTCTTATTCCAAGTGATGGGGGGCCCTGGGGATTCCCAGTTCTTGCTGGCTTGATTTGGAGGGGTAAGAGCTGTATGTGCTTCAGGAACTTTTTGTTCTGCTTTGGAACAGGAAATTAAACATTTTTAAATTAAGAAGTTGGATAACCTGTATCCTACAGGTTTAAAGGCTCTGTTGAAGAGTTTGACTATTAATGTTGATTTTCAATAGCTCTTGCTACACAGGGGAAATTTCAGGAGTGCAAAAAAAAAGGTAACGTGCCAATATTTAAAAAGAATAAAGGAAATGACCCAAGAAATTATAGACCTGTCAGTGTCACATAAATCCTTGGAAAAATAATGGAACAGATAATATGAAACTGAATTAATAAAGAATTAAAAGCAAGTAGCAGAATTAATGCCAGTTCATTTGTGTTTATGGAAAGTAATCCTATCTGGCCAGTTTCACATTATATTTTCTGTAATATAGGTTGATTAAAAGATAAAGAAAACGGGATTTGAAGGTCCACTAAAGTTGCAGACTTAGACAAAGTAGTTACACCACTACAAATCAATCCATTTTGTCTGGCAAACTTTTAAGAGAGTAGGATTTTTCATCATCTTGCAAAGCTACTAAAACAAACTTTATTAGCAAGCCTATGTACATCATACTGTCTGGATGCTTTCTACTTCTTTTGACAACAATAGTTTCTGGCAGCAAGATCTAAGTGTATTCACAGTGGTTATACTGAGACTTCCCTATTTGCTGCCAAATATACAACAGGTCTTTATTGTAAGGGTGGTGAGGCACTGGAACAGGTTTCCTGGAGAAGTTGTGGATATCCCATCCTTAAAAGTGTTTAAGGCCATGTTGAATAGGTGTTTGAGCAACCTGGTCTAGTGAAAGGTGTCCCTGCCCATGGCAGGGGGGTTGGAATCAGATGATGTTTAAAGGTCTGTTCCAACCCAAATCGTTCCATGATTCTGTGATTGTGAGGTGCTGGGC